TTATTATTATTATTATTATTATTATTATTATTATTATTAAAATTTTCCATTTTGTTTAGAGGTAAAAGTGATGCTCCTGAGACAGAAAAACCAATAGTAGTTACAATTCCCTTATCTTCCTATAATTAAGAATATGAGGCTCTTGTACTTGCTCACTGTAATTGTTTCATTATTTTGTTGTTGCTTCAGCACTGGAGAAAGTTAGTGTTGGCTAACTTGAATATGTTGTCCTTTTTTGAAGTTGATAAATATAGCCACATGTGGGCTATCATGATTAATTTTAATAGCACATGTGCAAATTAACCAACGAGGTAACCCTTCTTACACCTAAGAAAAAGGGTCCTTTCCAAAATAGGGTGGATCGGTTCACATACTACAAAAACATGATGGTTTAGGATTATGTCTCAGTAAGAGAAATATATGGCAAGAGTTCTGTATGGTTTGAGTAATATTAATTTTAACAATACATGTGCATCTTTAGCAAGTTGCAGTTTGTAATATGAATGCAAAGTGACCAATTAAAGCCTTTAAGAATAGCAGAGAAGTCAGGCACATGACAAGTAGTTAGCAATACAAACTCCCCCCCCCCCCTGCATTTGCCATCCTTTGTGTATACCTGGCATTTCTTTTTTTTCATTTCTTTTGTTTGATTAAATTGCTAATGCCCCTACTGAGAATGTTAATAGAATTTTTGTGCAATTCCAAAGTGGCTGTAAATTGCAACACATTCATGCAACGCCACAGGTTGCACTTGGATAAATGAAGCCTATAAACAAGACACAGGAGATCCGTATTATAGCTTTTAGAGAATTGGAAAAAGCTGGCTGTTATGGTCTAGAGAGAGAGAGAAAAAAAATGGAGTGAAATTTCATATTCATAGCCCAGACCAAAAAGCCGTACTAAAGCAATACTAAACAACTGTATTTTCATAGCAGCATATTTCTGTATTATAAATTCAACACTGGGAAAAATGTGGCTTGTTATTCTGAGCAATTCTAACTAGTTCTACTTTTCTTTACAGGGTTTACCATTACTTAATTTGCAGGATTTTGACCTGAAACATGGACACTAGATGGTCTTCGTCTCTTTTCCCCCCCTGCTTTATTGCTAAACATTTTATTTCTTATTAGGACAAGATGGATCATTTTTAGTTATTGACAGAACATTTGATCACTTTGGTTTAAAAAAAATCCGAATTTATCGGAGATAGGCTTTCTTTGCAGGGGTCATTGTTCCTTTCTACTACTGACAAGAAACAGAAGACTCAACTCTTCCATATTGGAAAAGAGAACGCTAAACCTTTCCAATTCCCTTAATAAGCTCTTGAAGTTGCATGAAAGGTGTCCTTTCATATCTTTAAAAGATCCTCATGATTTCAGCAATCATTACTTCTCCAACTGTTTCGTGAACCTTTTCTTCAATTGCATGTTTGCATGAGCAGACGGCCTGTTGCCTTCCTGTTTTGTCTTGTCATTCATTGTCCTGTGGTTTCATGTAAGGGAAAAGATTCACATTTGTTATCTCTAGCTGGGAAAAACAGCAAGGGGCCATTCAAATGAAAAAGTCCATATCCAGTTAACCAAAATCAAACATACCATGTAGAAGATAGGGATCTTTTCATAGCAAGAATAGGATCCCATCAACTTTTACATTGATATTTTTTTGGGGAAAAAATATTAAAGTGTCTATGGCACTTTTTTGTTAAATTGTTTTCTTACTTTTTCCTAGAATTCGCCCGATGGTATTACCTGTCTCAGAGAGGTAAAATTTAAATCAATTTGACTAACTTTCAAATAATTTTCCCCCTTTTATTCTAATATGATATAAATGGTTGTTGCAATTTCCCACCACCAAAGGTTCTGTTCACACTGGAAAAGTAGGCTGGAAGTTACAGGTACAAACCATACTCCTGATCTATTGCAGAGTGCATATGCAGATAGTTGACATGGGATAACTAATAATGAGCTCTTGCAAATATTCCTAACAAAGAAAACCAATTAATACTTTAGCATTAATAGACTGAGTTCTTCCATCATCTTCCTCAGTCTTATTATTAAGACCAAGACACCTTTCATGGATTTCTAGTAAGTCTACAGATGTAGCATTGGAGCATGGTCCTCATACAAAGCAGGTATAAAATCATGCAGTGTTCCAGTTGTAGACATATATAATTCATGCAAGTATTTGAGGTAAAGCTCTGCTTGTTTACAGCAAGCAAGCAAGGTCTTCCTTAAGTGTTTCCCTGTACTGGTCCAAGAGATACCCTCATTGCTTTCTCACCACTACCTACAATCTGATAGTGGCTTGTTGCAATTAGCCAAAAGTTATGGCTATACTGCAATCAACAGAAGCAATGTTTTTTATCCCTTTATATTGGAAGAAAACCCTAGGCAATCATGTGTCTCCAACCTTTGATTTGCAACTGAAGATCTTTGTTCCCTATCATGTCCCCAGTCTCCCAGCTTTTCAATATGGAGGAACATGGATTGCTGCCCTAGAGGGTAAGGTGGTATGGGTCTACACATGTATCCTATATTGGACTTCAAAGTGCATTTCTGAAAGCTGGTAAACAACCTGATTTTTGTGTGGTACGCCTTGCTATTACAATCCAAATTAATGTATCCCAATGAAGTTACTATTGTGTAGACTGTTAACTATGCTTATACATGCATCAGTATTCAGGGGCATTAAAAAGTTACTTTGAATCAGGTTATTTAACCAGTGAACTAGACATCATTGAAGTAAATGCAGATGATTAAAAAAAAGTTCTCTGGAAACATGATACTGGGGTCATGACCCAGAAATGGAATAAAAAGGGGGGGGGAAGGGTTTTTGAAATGCAAGAACGATAAGTGTGATGTGGAATATTATATTGTTTCAGTGAATTTTCTTCTGTAGCTATTCAATCTGCCAAAGAGGGAAGCGATAGCTTTGAAATGAAAGTAACATTTCTCTTCAGATAGTTGCAATTAAAATTTTAAACAAGCTTTAAGTAGCTGTAGATGTTAGAACAAGGTTTTAAGTCAGGAGAATCTTAAAACCAATCATCTTAAGTCACTGCCAAATGGGAAATAATTCCAACTTTATTTTTAACGTGTATCTAATAATAAATATTTTATATAAACTTGACATATAATATCAAATCTTTTTGCTATAATATTAAATTCATCCCATTTCTACAATTCATAGCAATTTTATAAGTAAAGATGGTCATTTCAGATATATGTTTGTGTATGTAATCATTTTCTTTCCTTGCCTGTGGAAATTTCATTTATATATCCCCTTAAAAGTTGAGAAATAAATAATATTTCCTTTAAATTAAAAAAAATGATGTGAAAAGCTTCTGGCTAATTTGATAGGAAATCTAAACATTCCCATCAGATATATATATCTTCCACATCTACATTGCACACTTTGTTTTAATTTTGTAAATTAAATGTATATAGTCTATATTAAAGAAAGTACCAAAATCAGATACATTCACATAACATAATCAGCTTTAAAATAAAATTTCCTTTCTTAATGTCATGCTGGCCTTTATTGTCTCCAAAAGCAGGGATTTTCAAAGTTATCCAAATTAGAGAACCTGTTACTTAAATTAAAAAAAAACAATCAAGAACTGTACCTTAGCAAAATTGCTATACTTTTCCTTGGATGCACTTAAGTGCAATCTATTCTAGAACCAGAAATCCTATAACAGAACAATAGTTATAGCACTTTTGTTGAAAATTGAAGTTTGCTGAATTGAAACCAGAATATTTTAATTACTATTTTTCTTCCCCTGAACTAGTTACTTTTCTCTGGCCTCTTGTCTTCAAATCTAATGTAAGCCCTTCATTGCACCATTTCATCATCTTTCCAGGCACTTGAAAAAGAAGGGTTTTACACTCTAAACTCCCAAATAGCCCAAATAAAATATGGGTTAAATGATGCATAATTAGATTTATTTTCCAAAAACCTAAGAAAAAAAGGATAACACCTGGAGTGGGAGCCAATAAAAATAGAAAAGCCTGTCAGGTTTACTTACTAGGCAGGTGTTACAGTTATGGTGTCATTGTAGCATTATTCACAAGTCTAGTTCTGGAAGACATTAGTGAACTTATTAAACATTGATTCAACGGAGAGGCATTCTTCTCACTGCAAAATAGCAATTGAAGTACTGGGGTTATCCTGTAACAGAGCGAAGCACACCAGCTGAAACTGATAAGAACATTCAAGGTGACATAACAGGGAAAGAATAAAGAATATTAAAATGGCAAGAGAAAAGCATGACTGGAGGTTGCATTTACAATCAATACAGAGCAATGTCACCTATTCTTGTCCTCCAGAAATGACTGTTTGCCTCTTCTTGTGATGGGGCTGTCACGTAGGATGAATAAAGTGTGAATTCTCCCAAAAAGGATAATATCCAATCCATAACTGGTTTGAAGAAAATGGTTCCTAAAGAGTATCTTAGACTAGAATAATTTATTGGCCAGGTGATTGGGCACACAATGAAATTGGCTCCGATGGATAAGCTCTCAGGGTACATACAAACAACAAAGTAATATTGTCATGTTATATAATATAATATAGTAATTAGTAATTATAATATAATCATGTAATATAATAATATTAAATATGACATATAAAGGTCTATCAGAGTAATATGTAGGATCATGTTTTAATCTATATTGGTAGATTATTAATCAGTGACTGTGGGAGATTTACAAGTATAAAAACAAAACAAAAATCCATACAAAATAAACAAGTTAAAAGGATGTGAAGAATGTTCTCAAGCACCAACCACCATAAGATTGTCTCCCATTCTAGGATCTCCATGCTAGTTGGCAGAGCCAGGTCTTAACACACTTCTGGAAAGCCAACAGAGTGGGTGCCAACTTCACCTCAGGCGAAAGATATTCAGTAGGGCAATGACAGAGAACCCTGCCTGTGGCACTGCCTGTCAAAATTATTTAATCAATGGAGTCCCCAACATGCTAATTCTGTCTGACCAGAAAAGACAGGTTGAAGGAGCCGAGGTGGTGCAGTGGTTAGAGTGCAGTACTGCAGGCCACTTCAGCTGACTGTTATCTGCAGTTCGGCGGTTCAATTCTCACTGGCTCAAGGTTGACTCAGCCTTCCATCCTTCCGAGGTGGGTGAAATGAGGACCCAGACTGTGGGGCAATATGATGACTCCGTAAACCGCTTAGAGAGAGCTGAAAGCCCTATGAAGCGGTATATACATCTAACTGCTATTGCTATTGCTATGTAAGTGGGATAAATGATTACTAGATTCAGATATTGTTATCAAGCAACGCCTCAGCAGCAATTTCAATCCATTTCCTAAAAGCTTTTTCATTACTATGGAGGCATACAGTTTGGGCATAAAAGCTTGTCAGCAGGATAAACTGTTATAGTTGTTTCATTCAGAGTGGCCATTGTGTTTAGCATCATACCTTTAAACTTCTGCTAATGGATCTTAAGACCATTCTGGGTGCATTAAGTTTAAACAACTTATGGATAGCCACAATGGGAACAGAGTGTTGTTTTCAGTGACAGAATATTTATAAGAATAAAGTTTAGCAATAAGTGTTGCATACCAATAAAGTATCTTTAACTTCTGCCAGGTTAAGTCAAATGCCATCTAACTAATAATAGTTCATTAAAAAAATCTTTTAAAAAATGCTTCTGTCCTGAATGTTATTAAAACAATCCCAAAGTGGTGCAATTTAATAAAAAAGTAACTCACAATAAATTAAAAACAATTAATGGTTGTGTCAAATGCAGTTTAAATTCATTATTTATTTGTAACTTCCAACAAGGATTAATCCAATACCTGACTTTAGAAACAAACCTCTCTTGTCTAAAGTTTGTGAAAAAGGAATATGAACTTTGTGATCATTATTTATGTCCCATTTATGAAGTATTTGAATAATTGTGCTCAGTTTCATGTCTTTAAAATTTGTTCTTGTTGCACTTTATTCACAGTGATTGTTATTATACTGGAATAAATTCTTCATTTCTCATTTAAAAATGGGAGACAAGTTTGTGTTAGTTTGTTTATGTTGTGATGCATTGTTCATATAAATGCAATAATTTCAATAAAGTTACATTTTTTAATATAAAGAATTTTTGTCATTCTTAATATTTTCACCAGATAGTTTGTCTGAATTGCTTTAATTTGGTATTTGTCTCTCTAAAAACTATATGCATAGATATGTGCATGGCCAATTTTATTACTTCAAATGTAGTACAGGATATTTAAAGGAAAATATAACAAATATCTATTTAGATTCAATCTTTCTTCCAAGTACTCATGATGCTGTACATAATACTTATTTTGCATTTTTTTTCCATAAGAAGAATTCTTTGACAAAGGTTGCACTGAAAGCAAAAAAACAGTCCTAAGATTACAGTATTCATCGGTAGGAGCACACTTGACCTTGGAACTCCCCCAGGCTAACACCTTAACCACTACACAACACTGGCTTTTGTTTCAAACTCTACACAAAAACATAAATCAAGCAGTATCCTTCATAGGCAGTCCCAAGACAACATGCAGCTAGAATATCAGGCACAGCATCTGGCTATTACTGAGCGTCCTAGAACTTCCCAAAGCTTTAAGTCCATTTCACTGGGAAAACAGCTTTTCATCAATTCTTAGATCAATTCATTTGTCACTTATTGAAAATATAGCTATAGTTTCATTATTGACACAGAGAATCCATGAATCACTAAGATTCCAGTAAATGGAAATAAATAAATAAAGGTTATCATC